AAAAGAGAAAAGGCTCAAATAAATAATCTTACATGAAATACTAATATACTTGAGAAACAACAAGTAACCAGCTCTACACCAAAATTAAGGAGTGAAATTTATGAGAGAGGAAATCAGTGAAATTGGAACTAAAAAAGGCTATTAAAAATCAGTAGATCAAAGAGCTGGTCTTTGAAAGAATAACTTAAAATAGATAAGCTTTTAGCAAGACTCACTGGGAGAGAAAAGACATCAATGCAATTAGAAATGAAAAAGATGAGATCACAACAGACACTGTCAAAATCCAGAGATAGTGACTTCTTAGAAAATTATTTTCTAACAAATTATCAAGTTTTGTAGAAATGCACAGATTCCTAGACACTAGACAAATACAAACTGTCCAAACTAAAGAAGGCATAAATATGCATAAAAACCCAATAATAAGTTGTGGAGTTGACACAGTAATAAATAATCTACCAACCAAGAAATGCCCAGGACGTGATGGATTTACTGCTAAATTCTACAAATACTCAAGTTCTTCAAAGAAAATGAATGAGATGGACTGCTCCCTAATGCAGTTATACAAGCCAGCATCACCCTGATTCCTAAACCTAGATAAACATCCAACTGAAAAACAGAAAACTATAAGCCAATCTTTTTAATGAAAATACATGCAAAAATCCTCTCCAAGATATTAGCAAATAGAATGTGACACATTATCAAAAAGGTAATTCATCATGATTAAGTAGGTTTCATCCCAGAGATGCAAGGATGGTTCAACATACATAAGTCATTAAATGTAATACATTAAACTGGATCAAAATAAAAAACATCACTTCATGATAAAAATCCTGGAGAAAATAGGTATAGAATATAGGTATATATGCATGTGGTAAAAACTATGACAAACCAATAACCAGCATTATATTATATAGGGAAAAGCTAAAACCATTCCTCCTAAAATTAAGAACAAGACCAAGATTCCACTAGTACCTCTACTATTCAACATAGTACTTGCAACATTTGTCAAAGCAGTGAAGCAAGAAGAAAAAGTAAAAGTGATACATACAGGAAAGGAAGAACTCAAATTATTATTTGCAGATGACATGATATTAGACATAGAAGACCCAAAGAACTACACCAGAAAATGCTAAGAATTAACCAAATTCAGCAAAGTATGATACAAGATGAGCACTTTGAAATCAATGGCATTTGTGTACACTTAACACTGTGAGGAACCTACTATAACAGTAGGTTCAAGAAAAATGAAATATCTAGACATTAACCTAACCAAGGAAGTGAAAGACCTCTACAGAGAAAACTATAGTACTCTGAAGGAGGAGACTGAAGAGTACATCAGTGTGCATGGAAAAATGTCTCTTGCTCCTGGATGGGCAGAACCAATATTGCCAAAGTGGCTATAGTTCCAAAACTTATACAAAACTGGGCATGGTGGTACCCCCATGCCAAGTGACAGCACTTGGGAGGCTGAGGCAGGAGAACTGCTGTAAGTTCAGGCCATTCTGGGCTAAATAATGAGTCCAGGCTGGCCTGAACTGCGTAGAAAGACCCTGTCTCAAAAAAGAAAAAAAAAATAAAACAGGTTCAGTGCAGTCCCAATGACAATACCAACAGCATACTTTTACCTTGTTTTTAGAGCAAACAAACTTAAAATTCATATGGAACCAGAAGAGACCCAAAATAGTAAAAGTTTGGGCAATAAGAACAAAGCAGCAGACATTGCAATACCTGCTTTCAAGCTATACAAAGCAGTAGTGTTAAAAATGGAATGGTACTGGGACAAAAGCAGACACGTGGATAAATGTAACAGAACTGAGGATACAGAAACCTCCCCAAAGATACTCAACTATTTAGTCTTTGACAAAGCGGCCAAAAGTGTATGTTGGAGGAAAAATAGCCTATTCAACAAATGGCTTTTGGAAAACTGGTTATCTGTTTGTAGAAGAATAAAAGTGGGCGCTTACCCTTTACCGTGTACTAATGGATTAACGATCTAAACATTAAAACTTCTGGAAGTTTAAGTACTTGGAAACATAAGTATAGGAAAGGATTTTCTTCTTTTTTTGTACTTGGGATCGAACTCACAACCTCACACTTGCCAGGGAGGCTTTTAGGCCACTGAGCTGCAACCTTGGCAGGAAAGGATTTTCTAAACAGTACCTCAGTTGCACCAGAAATAATAGCAAGAATCAACAAATGGGATTATATCAGATAAAAGGTTGCTATACAGCAAAAAAATTTTACCATTAGAGAGAATATACAACCTACAGAATGGGAAAAACTTTTGCTGGACTACTCCACAGACAGAGGACTCAGATCTAGTCTATATAAAGAATTAAAAAACTAAACTATCTGAGATTAAAGAGAAATAAAGGACACTTTACAGAGGAAGAAATACAAATGGTCAGCAAATACATGAGAAATGTTCAACATCTTTGGCCATTAGAGAAATGAAAATTCAAACATCCCTAACATTCCATTTCACTCTAGAAAGAATGGCAGTCATTAGGAAATCAAATAAGAGCACAGTACTGGCTGTGGTAAAAAAGGAAGCTTTGTTCATTCTTGGTGGGAATGCAAACTGTTACAGCCAATATGAAAATCAGTACTAGAAATTACATATGACCCACATGTCCCTTGTTAGACATCTTTCTCAAAGTGCTTAAGACATCATACTACAATAATATATGTGTAACAATGTTTATAGTAGCATGATTTGTAATAGCTAAATCCTGCAAGCAACCTGCATACTCATTAACAAACGACTGGGGAAAGAGAATGTGGCATTTATATATAATGGAATACTACTCTGCTATAAAGAATGACACATTTGGGACATTTGTAGGACAATGGATGCACCTAGAAAATGTAATATTGGGGGCTGGGGATTGAGCTCAGCGGCATAAGTGCATTGAGCTTACCGGTACCGATAAAAAGGAAAAAGACCAAAAAAAAAAAAAAAAAAAAAAAAAAAAAAAAAAAGAAAAGAAAATGTAATATTGAGTGAAATAAACCAGACACTTAAGCTTAAATACCATATGATGTTTCTCACTTGAGTGAGGCAACATACAAACAAAGTGATGGATAGAAAGAGATCTGTCTTGTGGTAGGGAAGTGATCCAAGAGAACAAAGGGGCAGGGTGAGGAAGTGGAAGAGAGAGGAATAAAGGTGTCCTGGTCCGGGAACCTAGTAACTGCAGTTAATGTAAATGCTATATGCTGTGACATGAGCTAAGACAAATAGTATCAACAAGTTTGGAAAAAGAGACTAGGGAACCTGAAGGGGGAGGGAGAGGAAAGAGAAGGTAATTTTATAAAAAACAAACCATATTATATACATGTATATAATATGATACAAGATTATCTGTAGCTTTATGACTGTACAAGATGACTGTAGCTTTATGAATGCAAATGTGCTAATAAAATAAAAAAGATTAAGTACAGTGACCAGTAAATATATGAGAAACATGCTTTATATTGTTAGCCATCAGAACAATGCATTGAGTCTACCTCAGCAGAGTGGATATTAATACGGGTGAGGCTGCTGAGAAGGAAGCCTTGTGCACTCTTGTAGGCGTGTAAATTAGTATAGCCACTGTATACACCAGATGGAGATTCCTCAAAAAACTTTCAGTAGAAATCCTATCATGTGATTCATCTATCCACTCCTGGTACTTATTCAGAGGAAGTTAAATCAGCATAGAAAGAGCTAATATACTTGCATCCCTTGTTCTTTGCAGCACTATTCATAATGGCTAAGATGTTTCATGTATGTCATACCATGAAGCATTATTCAGCCATAAAGAAGAACGAAAGCATGGCCCTTGAAAATGGATAGAACTGGGGGCTGGGGATTTAGCTCAGCGGCATAAGCGCCTGCCTTGCGAGCAGGCAGTCGTGAGTTCGATCCCCAGTACCGATAAAAAGGAAAAAGACAAAAAAAAAAAAAAAAAAGAAAAGAAAATGGATAGAACTAAAGAATATCACATTAAGTGAATTCAGCTAGACAAAGAAAATCAAATATCACTTTCTCCTTTGTTGGGGGAAAGAAAAAAGATGACCTGAAAGCAGAAAGATGACTTTCAAGAAAGAAAGGGAATGGGACAGGGGGCCCAGAGCAGAGGAAAGATTGTGTGGAACACAGGGTGACAGTGACCAAAGCATAACATATGTATGTATGTAACTTTCACATTAATTAATTTAATATAATTAATGTGTTAATAATTATAGTAACTTTCAAATCCTGATTATAGATTGTGTACAAAATGGAGAAAGTAAAAAGAGTGTTGAGATTTAGGCTTAGTTGAATATTTGAAGAGTCTTTGCTCCCCCACAGGTAAATTATATCATATATTATAGTTTACAAGATGATTTTACAACAGTGTTGTGCATTTGAAAATTACCTTACATCTTGCCTAAGATCACAAAGTTAGGTTTTGGCAGAGGTGCACCTTACCCTCAAGTTTTCTGATTATTGTACATTCTCTGTTATTCCAGTTTTATTTCTTGAAGAAAAAGTAACTTTACATATTCTTTTATTATACAAGAGCAAAGAGGGCAAGTTTACATGTTCTTTTATTACACAAGACAAAAGAGGACCTTGTAAAAACGGTTTTAATCCGATATGATTTTCTGAAAGAAGATTGTGTATTTTATATAGAAATTCTTTCATATTTTTAGTATCTTAATTATAATGTTTTAACTGATACCTTCAATTTACTACAATTACCCATTGTGATTTGATAAAAGTATTCTTTACTCTTTTTGTATAAAGCTAATTATACCTTACTTAAATGTCTGTACTTTATACTACACAATTTAATATTTGCATTTCTTGCCTGGCTATTATTTTATTTAGACTTTCTGTGTAATACAGAGTCAAATGAGATTCCAATGTGTGATATTCTAATCTGTTAAGTTTTTGCAAATAATTCACCTCATAATATTTTTCGGACAAGCCACTTTTGGTACCCTGTGTTTGTGTATGGTTTTGCATTTAGGTTGGTTATGATATGACTAAAGAAGCTGCCAGAAGATGCTATGAGAAGTCCGGCCTGGGACCAAATGATATTCACGTAATAGAACTTCATGACTGCTTTTCTGCAAATGAACTCCTTACTTATGAAGCCCTAGGACTCTGTCCAGAAGGTAATATCTGTGAGGCAGGTAGATTAATTGATGAAATTTCACTGAGCAAGCATCACTTTTACCACTAAACAAAAGTATTCATGAATTTTCTTTCCCTCCACATTGGTTCTGCCAGTGAGCCAAGTGCATGTAACCAGTTTTAGTGGACTTCTTAGAACGTGTAGTTTTGTAGTTTAATATGAGCACCAAGGTAACAAAGTATAAAAATGATTTATATTATGCAAATCAGGAACACTTACAATGGACTTTTAAATTTTAAAAAGGAGATAACCCTATATATAGAATCGCAAGTATTTCTTTTCTTTGCTGTTTTGTTTGTTTGGTTTTTGTATTTTATGGATTGAACTCGTCTTTTGCACTGAGCTGCATCCTCAGTCCTTTTTTCATTTTTTTGTTTTGAGTGAGGATCTTACCAAGTCATTAAGTTGCCCAAGCTGGGTTCAAATGTATGAGCCTTCTGCCTCAGCCTTCTAGAGTAGAAGGGTTATAGGGATGAGTATTTCTAATTTGTGTTAGAAAGGAAAATGAATATTTCTAATTGTGTCAAAAAGAAAATGGAAAAAAATGATTTGGGACATCTGAAATATTTATTTATTTATTTTATATCAACAGTCGAACTCAGGACCTTGCATTTACTAAGCAGGCACTGTGCCACTGAGCTATAACTCCAACCCTTTACTTTCACTTCTTTATGTTTTATTTTTTTATTTTTTTTGGTCTTTTTTGTTTTTAATCGGTACCAGGGATCGAACTCACGACTGCCTGCTTACAAGGCAGGTGCTTATGCCGCTGAGCTAAATCCCCAGCCCCCCTTTTTGTTTTATTTTGAAGAGAATAAAACTAAATGAAATAAAACAGAATAGAGTCAAACAAAACAAAATAAGGCTTGTGGTATAAAATAGAATGTCAAAAGAAAATCAATAATGGTTACCATAATACCTCTTGTAATCTTCAGAGTAGCGTCCTATATACCATCAGACATAATACAATCAAATAAAACAAAACAGAATAAAACCAGTCAAAACAATGAAAGCAATACGGGGCTTTAAAACAAGATAATAGGAAATCAATGACTACCACAATAATGTTTTTCTCTTACTTTTGTAGTTCAATGGCATTTTTGGCCATTTCCCTTAATTTTATGCAGGTGACCTTTTTTTCTTGATTTTTCCTGTTAATTAACAATACTTGGATACTCTGTAGCAGTACAGTTGACCATAGAGATAAATAAATACATTTGGGAAAATTATGAATTTTAAAGCTCTTATAATTATTGTGTCTATCTCAGGTCCTTCCTTTTGGCTCTTGAATCTTGATATATTTGGAGCAATTTTGGAAGGTAGAAAGCTTGTAGGAACAAATAGCTTTTTGATGGCGTTTTTTGGGGGGCAGAGTACTGGAGATCAAACTTATGACCCTGTGCATACCAGGCAGGCTCTTGTGCTGCTGAGCTAAATCCCCAGCCCATACAAATAGCTTTTTAAATGCAGCATGTATCTGAAAAGATTAACCTTTATTGGTCAACATTTATTATTTACCTTTCATAAATGCTTTGCCAAATTGTTGTTAAGCTGTTAAAAAATGTTTACCTTAAGCTGGGATAATGATGCATGGCTGAAATCCTAGCCCTTCGGATAGCTTAGGCAGCAGGATTACAAATTGGAGCTCAGTTTCAGCAATTTAATGAGACCCTGACTTAACTATAGTGCACCTCAATAATCTTGATTAAATGATGCAAATTTAAATTGAGAATCTAAATTCAGCAATATGTTTATTTTTAGGGAACTGAGAAAGAGGATAGACAGATGAATGGGTGCATATGAATGAATGGACTGGGGTAGAGCATTTTTAGATTCCATCTGTATGAAAAAAGCTAGAAGTTCTTGACTATGGATAAATTAAAAACAAGTGATTTGTTGCAATATTATTTTTAATGCTTATGAATGTTACTTTTCATTCGGCAGGACAGAGTGGAGCCCTGATTGATAGAGGAGATAATACCTATGGAGGAAAGTGGGTCATAAATCCTAGTGGTGGATTACTTTCCAAGGGACACCCACTGGGAGCTACAGGTAACACTATTCACATATGTCATAGGCTTTTGTCATTTTTGCTGTAAGTATGGTTTAGTCTTTGCTTTGAATGTAAGTTTGTATTGTCCAAATTTATTACCTGGTGCTTTTAAAAAATCACTACATATTTTCAGTATGTAATAATTACATTTATCGTGAAAAATTGGTACATGGTGGGACAAGATTCCTCAAACGGGTCTGAAAATGGCGGCGAGCTAGGGGATCGAGCGAAGAGTCTCTCCAGAGAATTCAAACTCAAAGCTAAAAAAAAAAGACAGCATGGAGAGGACCAGACAAATCGATAGCGTTTCTTATTAACCAAGACAGTACAGCTGGAGGATTTAAAGTCGTGCTGAGACCGGAGGCTGCAAATCCCGCGCCCTTAAATCAACAAACAGACTCGTGGACCCAGCACGAAAAGCTGAGTTGCTTTTGGGGACTGCGGGAAACTGAGACCCAGATCGAGACTCCAAGTAGCAGCCAGTTCTGCACCGCTGCACCAGAGCGGATGTACAAATCCGGCGTTTCAAATCTAAACGGTGCACAGAAATCTGACCGGTCAGCGCTGAGCCGCGAGTGGGGGAAAAGTGAACAGCTTGATGTGCGGTGGTCCCGGAACGAGGACTTGCACCGGACTCTGGTGAGTACAGAAAACCCCACGGCTGCTGGGTTTGGCCAGAGAACAGCTGGCCCGCCACCACGGGGAAATCAATAACACAGAGTCTGGTGCAGGCATATTAGCCTGGTGGCAGAAACCGCAGCTTGGTGACATCACCAGGTCCCCCTGTAGGGAGGGCTGGTGGAAGACATCTTGAGTCCTGGCAGAGCCTGATTACTTGCTGGCTTCAGCTCCACACAGAGAACTTAGTGGGAGCCATCTTGGTTTTGGGCAGATCTGCTTTTCTGGTGCTCCTATCACAGAGAGGTTTGGAAGAGAACGGCTGGGACCTGGGCAGAATCCTGTGCCATTACTCAGCTGCTTCTGATTCAAAGAGAACTGGCAGGAGCTACTGGGGCTAAACCAAGCCTCTGCTTGGGGCCCAATAAGCAGATACAAAATAGTCACAACTCAGTGACAACCAGAAAGTACAGCCTAATTTATGAACTAACTGACACAGAGGCTAGAGGCTAGACTGTACCGCTCCTACATCCCAGCCTACCCCAGATAACAGCAAATTGGGGAGGACAGCAAAAACTCAAGCCAGCACGCTTCTGAAAGGCCCTAAGCAATTCGGAGAGGGCCAGAGAACTCCAGGACAGTCTGAAAGAAACCAGAAACATGACAAGAGATAAAAATAAAAAAAAATCTCCAGCTGTTCAACAGGAGAAATTAAACCCAAGAGAACTAAACACTGAAGAAAACAAACACAGTAACCACCCTCTACTCGACACAGCATCAGCTGAAATTAAAAAGTACTTACATGATCTCATAGAGGAATTTAAAGATGTACTCCTGATCCAAGTGAGGCAAGATATAAAGAGATTAATTAAAGAAATGACAAGCCCCGCCCAAGAGAACACAGATGGAAGAACTGAGGAAATCAGAAAAGAAAGAGAAGCATCTGAAGAAGAATTTAAGCATAACTTAGAATACATGAAACAGATCCAAAGAGAATATCAGGAAACTAAAAACTCCATTGAATATTGGCAAAATGCCTTGACAGAAACTAAAGACAACCTTCTGAAACTTGAAGAGAGATTTAGGGCTTATGAACGTGAAAGAAAAAGCCTCTTAAAAATAACAAGGAACCAGAAAGAAGCAATTCTAAAACTGGATGATAAAAAGATACATAACCTAAGAATAAAGAATGTGAGTGAGGAAGCAGGAACATCCAAAAATGAAATACAAAAAATATTCACAGAGATATTAAAGCAAAATTTCCCACGTATAGCAAAAAGAAATGATATCCAGATAAAAGAAGCATACAGAACGCCAGCTACCTACAACCAAAACAGATCTACGCCTAGGCATATAATAATCGAGATCCCAGAAATCCACCAAAAAAACAGAATATTAAAAGCAGCCAGAGAAAAGATGCAGGTTACCTATAACGGGAAATCTATCAAAATAACAGCAGACTTATCAACACAAACTCTTAAGTCAAGAAGGGAGTGGGGAGAAATATTCCAAGTCCTGAAGGAAAAAAATATGCAACCTAAGTTCATATATCCGTCAAAACTCTCTCTAAAAATTAATGAAGAAATAAGATACTTTCAAGACAAGGAGGAACTGTGGGAGTTCATGGCCACCAATCCAACCCTACAGAGAGCGCTGAAGGACATTACAGAGAAAGAGAGGAAGAGATATCAGGATTACAGCTACAGTGGCAGAGAGGCCTCAGTGAACTGGGCAGACCATGGAATGAGGGAATAAGATGGACAAATTATAGCAGAAAAGTGGAGTAGCAGACATGAGGCAGAGACGGTAAGCTAGTCTTTAGTAGAGACAGCTCTGAAACTATATTTAAAAAAAAAAAAAAGCAGAGGTCATTGCTAATGGTGTATAACGATTTAAAAGACACAGTAGTCCTAGTGCCATATTTAGATTGAATTAAATTTGTTCTGGTCTGTCCACTCATATCAGATTTGAGGACACAGACCTCTAGAACCAAAAATAGCAGGTTATACCATGGTAACTATCCTTACTTTCCTATTGACTTAGGCTGAAATCCTGTATTACTTACATTGTCTTACTATGACTGATCTTAATTGTATCTGAATCATAAGACTATTGGTTGGCCTTGACTGATCCTATTTGAAATCGGTATGCGTGTTAGAATCAACCCTAAAAGTAGAGGAAACTACTCTGAGCATGACAAGATGTAAAGGATATCCATACTGGTATGAATCAGTAACAGCTCTCAAATACTACAATGCAGTCAAAGATAAGTTTTTATAAAAATAGGTGATAGTATGTTTAACTATAATAAGCCAGTGTTGTCGACAAATCTATTGAAAATAACAAGAGAAAACATAGTAGCTACAGAAGATCATTTATATTATAGTTTTATAAGTCTTATCCATTGCATGTTTATCTAGGAAATTGTTTCGCTGTCTTGTTATGACTTGGTTTTCCCTATAATACAGAGAGGATAGGAACAAATACTCTGAGGAAGAGACCTGAAAAACTCGAGGCTTATTTTGTAGCATTATAATATAAATTCTAGCAATCTATTGCTTGCTGATTAAAATGACTCTGGACTGGTTTCTTCAGCTCAACTTCAGCATATGCAGAGATGGGGACGGCTATCACAAAGAGAATGAGAGATGCGATGGTAGTTGGTATTGTCTTCCCTAATTTGGAACTTGAGGACCTAAAAAGACTCCATCATCCTGTAATGATTTGATTAGTTCTATAATATGCAATAAGTATAGAAAGTGGGTGAAGTTAGGGACAACTATTTGTAAGAAGCTAGAGACAGTTAGATAAGGTAGATCTCCAGTGGGCTTGCTTTGAAATCTGTATTTCTTTAAATTGTTTTTTATTTATTTATTTTTTAATGTTCTGTTCTGTTTTGATATGGTTAACCTTATCCTCTTAGAGATGTAAAACAAATAGGTGGGACTGATAATCATATTATGGAGCTTTTGTTCGGCCATAGAGCAGAATGGTTTGTAGGGTCACTTTTTTGAATGTCATTCTAAATACTTTAATTCTATAACCTGAACAGCCATTTCGAAGATGACAATTTGTAAATTATCAACTGGCAATTTCTTACCTTTTGTTTGTCTGTAATTTAGTATTATTTCTACCCTTTTTTTTTTATCTCCATGTATTTTTTTTCGTTTCCTTTTCTTTAAATAAAAAAAAAAAGAAAGAAAAATTGGTACATGTACATAACACATCTTAATTTTTTTAGGCCCCCTTTTCTTCCTTTCTCTCCTGGCTGTATTTTCCCTACCCTTTCCTCCCTCCATCCCTCCATCTTGCGCGCGCTCTCTCTCTCTCTCTCTCTCTCTCTCTCTCTCTCTCTCTCTCTCTGTTCCATTTTATTTTGCTCTTATATTTTGGGTTTCTTAGATAAGACAAATCATGCAATATTTAAGCTCGTGTGTCTGATTTATTTCACTTAGTGTTAAGTCTCCAGGTGCATCTGTTTTCCTACAAATTACTCAAGTTTATCCTTGTTTATGACCGAGTACTACTCTGTTGTATGTAAATATCACATTTTATCTGTCCATTCTTCTGTTGATAGGTGCATAGGCTGCTTCCAAGGATTAGCTATTATGCATTACGTGGCTATAAATTTGGGTATGCATTTGTCAATGCAAAGAGTGAATTTAACTTTTTGGTTAGGTCTTTTATTTTGGGGGTCTAGTTTTTGAGTTCTTTATATATTTTAGATATTGATCTTCTGTCTGAAGAACAGATGGCAAAATTGTTTTCCCATTTTGTAGGTTGTCTCTTCTCTCTATTAGTTTCTTTGCTGCGCAGAAGCTTTTAATTTGATATAATCCCATTTTGATTCTGGGTGTTAATCTCTTGTTCAGTTAGGGTTCTGTTCAGAAAGTTCTTGCCTGTGCCTGTGTCTCCAAGAGTTGTATCTATTTGGAGCTGGACATGGTGTCACACACTTGTAATCCCAGCATTTGGGGGGCTGAGGCAGGAGTATCATTAGGAGTTTGTGTTGGTTATTTCTCATTGTTGAGACAAAACAACTGGTACCCAAAATTAAGGACGAAATGGTTTATTTAGCTCACAGTTTGTAGGGGTTTCAGTTGGGAATCAGCTAGGTCCAAGGCAGAGTGGCATTGTGAGAGGTAATAGTCCAACGTAGCAGAAAACTGCAAAAGTAACAAGAGCAAAGAGGAATGGGAGGACAAGCTTCTTTTCTCCTTTATATTAATAATATGCCGGCTACCCACTGGGTGGGTGTCGCACTCACACCATCTCCACACCCTCCTCTTCCACAGGCTCAGGATGTTTACAGAGTGGCCCCTGGCTAAGTCACTTGGATAAATTTTTATACTTCTCAAGTTGGTACAAAGAACAACATCCT